TTTTTATAAACAATTGAATTGTGAATTAGCAACGATTCATTTCGAAATGTTAGAGAATGAAGATAGGAATGCACACTGGGCACGTGCACGGTTTTCCGAAATTATTTGCCAATATTCATTCATCACTTACTCATTTAGTATAAAAAGGCCGATGCTTTCGCGGTATATGTATGACATATAACGATTTAAAGCAATATAACAAGCATGCTAGTGTAGTGAATAAAGCATTTATGTCATCATCGAAAGATCGTCAAATAGCCGAACAATTTGCACGACCTGATATTCATAGACTGAATCAATATGGAGAAGAAATTAAATTATTTGCTATATTTACTTACGAAATATGTAAGGATTGCACTGGTTTTGTTATTGAAACAATATCTGAATATCCACAAGAAAAAGAAATATTAATTACGCCACTATCAACATTTAAAATTATCAATATTCAAAAAAATAACGATACAACGAATCATATTGACGTAGAAATTTATTTAAAAGAAATTTAAAATAGCGAATGACAAAACAGTATGCTACTTACGGTACGGAAGTTGTTTTTCTTCGATATAGAATTTTCATAGTTTGATTTTTTTCTAAATTTCATTCCACTTTCGATCTGTATAAAATGTCTGACAAAATCTCGAAATACACATCAGTCGACTCAGATTTCTACCGTCATTCTGAATATGATATTTTTGCTTCTCAAAAGTTGTGTTCTGATGGAGAAAACTGAGAATTATCGGCAGAATTCTAAGTTTTTCACCCCTTATTTAGAAAAAATGAATTTTCTCAGCAACTAAGTAATATTTTATGAAAAGCTCAACGTACTTTTAATCCTCATTTCAAGGCGGTTCTTTTCGACGATAAGCTTCCACACAAAAGACTAAATAGGTTTACAACATGAGTCATCTCGTTTTGACACGTGTAGGTTCGGACGTCCTGGCGGACGAGAATTTAACTGTGGAATTAACTGAATACCATTTTCTAAATCAGCTTCTAACGCAGATTCAGAAACATATAGTTTAAAAGTTTTGTCTAACAATATAACTTCGCAAAATCGTTTTTATGGTAAAGGAATAGAAAACGAATGTGAATGATATCAGGAATATGAGAAGAAAAAGCTGATAGACGGAAACAACCAGACAAGATATCGATAACAGACGAGACCGAATCAATCTATATAGCAGTTTGCCAGAAACAAGCTAAACAGTTTCAAAAATATCAAACATATTTAGATCGTAATATAAAACTTCACCAGTATTTTCAGCAAATTACATTTCAGATCCGGCCTGCAATATCATTTCAACAAACTGATGATATCACACAAATCGCGACATTAGCATTTACTCCAGTAAAACCTTCGGATGAAAAGATTGATGAGAACTAATTGAGTAGTTCCGAAAAACAAACTTGTGGCGCAGACACTCGATATTTTTCACCATAAAAGAGAGTCTTCCAATTTGATCTCTGACCGAACTGTTAACGTAACAAGCAGTGATGGTTGTCTATATCTCGTCTAGTATGGACTGTATATCTACAACACAAAGACCGATCGCGTTAGTTTTTAGCACTGATCTCGATATCTAGTGTAAATACATAAGCCTATCTCATACCATTTTAGGTGAAATAATTTCAATTATTTCCAAAACTCTAAGCAAGTCTGTGAAAAATGTGAATCAAGCGATATTACAATTCTAGGTCAAACAGTTCTTTGTAATGCATGTAAACTAAGGAAAAAAAATATCTGCTGGTAATACGATGAGTGAGAAATTTGATATACAAATCAAAAACAATTTCCATGAAACATACGATTTAACAATCGAGTTTGATATATTATAAAAGGTATTACCATCGTCAGTTAAAGCTGGAGAGAATTCATCAAAAGGAAAAGATGAGCAGTCCAAGCACGCAATACAGAACCATAGTACACAACCTCCAGAGAGCAGGTCGATAGGGATAGATAAAACTTGTCAAACCACATTCCTTCTATATTAAAAAAAAAAATACGGTATCGTGCAAAAAGAAATCGGTTTGGGACATGAACGCCCGGAAGCCAAAGGCGCACCAAAGCAGACAAACTCTGAGAAACGGAAGGCCTCTCGTCCATACATGTTTTTGCCCTCACTATTTCAAGACAGGGGGAGACATTGCAAAACGTTCGAACAGACCTAATGGAGGTGATCCCATGCGTCTTCCGCGAAGAGACAGGACATCGATGAGAAAAATTGCAACGTAACGCAGATGTGCAGAACTCAACTTTTATACAATAAAAATATCATATTCGGAATCGGAATCAAAAACTGAGTCAATTGACATGTATTTCGCAA